GGGGGGGTTGGAAACATTTCCCTTAACTTTGGAAAAAAATTTACTGGAATCGTTTAACATCTTTTACTAATTTTTAAAACCATTATCCACATTGCAACTATAATTTTCAGAAAAGTGATTTTCGATTAGTATTGTATGAATAGAGGGGAATGAGAGTGTAGATGAGTAAGCATTAGGCCACACACAGATTCAAAAATTGAGCTGCGGTTCTGGAAAACAACTCGGAGATGTTGCGTGTCTTACCATATTTGCTTGAACAAAACGAAGTACCATTCACTACGCCGTCGTCATTAATTTGCAGAAATTTCTGCGTTTTCCAGAACAAACGAACAGCCAATGGAATGGATGGAGTATTTGCCGCAATAGTCCTTATTTTTGGATTGATTTTAAGAGAAGTATCTCGCCGCTGTCGCGACAAGAGACCTCGTGCAAGACTCCATGCACCCGATGGGTTAACTGACGATGGTGATTGTCCAGTTGACTTAATGACTGCCGAGCGACAGAGGTTCAAAGTAAAAATGACCGAAAGAATCATATACTGTGGGGGGAAAAGACATTGTTAGGTGAATATTTAAGTAAATAATAATTAATTAATGAAGAAAGGAAGTTTTACGGCGATTAGGTGGATAGTGATAAGATTAATGATCCATTTTAAGTAATTAGTTATGAATGAGATTTAGAGGTAAATATTTTAAAAAGGAAGAAACGAGACGGTATTTAAGTATACTAGGGGAAGAAAAATAGTTCACTTATTAAATCTTGAAATTCAAAATATGAGGATCTCTTTTATAATTCAGTGTTCAGTTACTGAAAATGTCAGCTTCCCAGTTAGTTAAAGCTGGTAATGGGTTGGGTTTTGATAATTCATTTACATTCTCACTATTTTTTTCCCGTCAGCTGCTACAACTGTTACTTATAAATCGCAAGTTTTCTTCTGTACAGCAGGAGATATTTGAAAAAACTTCAGAGTGTGAAAAATTGGTTGCCTGTTTTTTGCTTTTTTAGAATAAACAGCCTCTTTGGTTCGTTATAACATGACTACAGGTCAAGATTGTAAAAACAAAAATGCAAATAAGGATCTCTCAAATTAAGGCTTAAATAAGAATGTTTGCAGCTAACGTTGGTACAAAACTTACCATTGATGTCCTGATCATTGTGAAAAGTGGGTAGTTAGTTCAGTTCAGTTAAGAAGCTTGTATCTGTTTCTTCGCTGCCTGTTGTTCAATAGTCTTCATCAAACTGCAAGCCTTTTTATACCCACTTACCTTTGGCCATTCCTCTTTAGCCGGCAATTTTTGCGTGGATGCTGTAATTCACGAAAAATTTGTGGGAGTGTGTTTTTTAATAAATTTATGAACAAAGCGACAAGGAAGTTTAAGATATTTCATTTTAACCAAGTTCACTCAATCAGAAAATGTTGCATTATTGTAATGTAGGCAGCGGACCATGTAAGTGGTTTGTTATCGTATCAAAGTCGAATATAACTGACTCGACAAAGTTAACTTCGCTCGAGTTTAGGTCTCTTATCAAGCAAAACTAAAAAAGCCTTTCAGGCATCTTGGTTCAAAGCTGAGAAAATAATTTCTTTTCCTTGCGGACACGTGACAAGTTGGTGACTTTCAATCAACTGGATTTAAATTAGAAGAATGAAAAAACGTTTTAAAAATAGAATATACGTCGGAGTTAAAGAATATCTTGAAGTACCTCCGGAACAAAGTTAAGCTTTAATTTGCAAACAAAGCCAGTAAGATTGTCAATGTATCTAAATCTTCGCACAATAACCAAACAATATTTTTTTAAGCACAAATTGAGTTTGTGATCATGACGTCACAAAAAAAGGAACCTGTATAAAAATTTAATACTTGCCAAAAAAATTATTTTCGCCTCAAGAAGAGTTTGAATGAAAAAGGGTTTACAGACGAGATTAAAATAGATGTCAATTTCCTTTTTTTTTTTTTTTTCAATTACGAGGAAGTCACAATATATTTGCAGCCGGGTTGAGAAAACACCCGACTTTGCAGTGTCATAATGCACCGGAAGTGGCTAGCCACGATAGAGGTAGAGTACCGGAGGTAACTTCCGCTTCCGGTCATGTCCCACCCACGTGTTTCCAATTTCAGTGAGCAGACAGGGAAAATTCCTTTCCCGTTAACCGTATTTTTGCTTAAAAAGACTGGATACTTTTTCATGTCGTCAGTTTCATTTTTAACAAAACCAGTTTAGCAGATTCAACATATTGGCAATGAACGAACAAAAATACTCCACCGCCCACAAGAGCAAATGAAATGGACTTGTGTTCATACAAGTAAGTATCCCCCATTATCATGGCTTCCGTGTGTATAAGGTAGCGGAAGGTATCAATATTTGCCACCACGCATCAAACACGAGCTTCTTTCGCAAATGGATTTTTCTTAGAAGTAAATCATTTACTGGTTGCGTCTGATATTGATTTGACAGAGAAAAAACCCGCACATCATATATTTATGATATTGTGGTTCTTTAATCTCGATTTTTTTCAAAGTTTCTTGTGAAAATTTACAGCTATATCGTGGAGAATGCGCAAAAAAAATAAAAAAGGAGATCAATTTGAACAGCGAACGAGACTCTCGGGATCGTAGCTTCTCTCAATGACTGAACCAACGGGATTCTGCAGGATGTTAATTACATATGTCATGAACTTTCATCAATATGTGTTTGCTTCCTGCATTTGTTGTTATTGTAGATCATTTTATTCTGGGGGGTGTTTTACCGTGGGAACAAATTTTGAGGCTTCCTTTGGTTTTTAAGTTGTTTTTTAGCATTGCTGTACTACGTATTAGTAGGTGGAAACTAAGAATTACAAATGTTCTGAATAGTTCTATTGGCAAAAAAAAACTCGATATTTCTTTCATCATTATCATATGTGTTCTTTTAATTTTCTTAAAAGTTGCCACTAGAAGGGATTTCAGGAACTTTGTCGATGGTGTGATAGACAGCTGTGCCGAAAAGCGAAACCCAAACACGAGAGCTGCTCACAGGCTCAACAGACAACGGAAAGCCGTCTTGTAGGCAATAGACCGCCGGTAACGACTTTTTATCAAAAACCCAGCTGTGGATGTTTCAAAGGCCTCACGCGAAAAGGTTTTCTTTTCTTGAAGAATTCCTACACATTTTTATTCATCCAGCTATTCAGTTTGGTGTCAAAAACCTGAGAATATCAAGGGAATTGTGTCAGTGGTTTTGCTCGCCCGCGTCCCCGCCACCAAACCCTACAATGTTGATCTATCTTAGTTCTAATTTCCCTTATTGTACATTCTGCGAAAGAGTGATTCATAGTTTCCACATTCAGAAATGGGTGATGGTTTTTGTACTTTTCTGTTGAAATTCAAGGTGGTTCTTAGTCCATCGTTTCATTAAAAATGATAACAAAGTGTTACTCAGCACATTTCATTGGATGTGAACAGCACCCTTTACAACCTAACATCTGTATGAGTATTCTCCATATTGCTAAATCTCCTACGACAAGGAGAATTCGTCTTTTACAGCCAATGCTGGAGCTTGTTTTATTTGGTGATCATTTCCTTTGTTCTCCTAACCTTAAAGCCGTGTGGTTCAGGGATATTATTGGGAGAAATTAGATGCTGGTCACTCTTAGAAGTTAAAGGATAAAACACTCCTCGCTGGTATCATTCTTACCTTTTTCAACCATGAAGAGTACGCGTGAATAACACTTTTTTTTTTAGTTTTTATAAACCACTCACACGGCACGCACAACCACAGAATGCAGGCCGCTTTTCTGTTCAAAATTATATCGTAAACAATTTCCATTTCTGGTGGAACAAGTTGATCTTACTCAAATTAGAGCGACGTTTTTCTCTTTTTCGTGTTTT